ACAGCGTTAACAGCAGTGTTCTGTGGTCCCTGAGTCAGTACAAAAGTACTCTGGTTTAAAATGTGCTGCCCACATTAGTGGCCCCAATTCTATGATTAGGCAGCGTTGTGTCCACAAGACAAGTGGAGGGAGCAGGGAAGAGAGAGGAGGGGGGCAAACCCAGCCAGCATGGCTGGCTAGGGAATTCTGGGAGTTGAAGTCCACACATCTTCAAGTTGCCAAGGTTGAGAAACACTGCTACAGCGTTAACAGCAGTGTTCTGTGGTCCCTGAGTCAGTACAAAAGTACTCTGGTTTAAAATGTGCTGCCCACATTAGTGGCCCCAATTCTATGATTAGGCAGCGTTGTGTCCACAAGACAAGTGGAGGGAGCAGGGAAGAGAGAGGAGGGGGGCAAATCCTTAAGACAGCTCCATGGGGCTGGAGAATTGGTGCCAAAGGAGCCATACTCTCCTTTAAGAGGAACATAAGGGGGGAGAAAAGTGGGGGAAATTGGTTTTTTGGGGGTCAGTTCTCTCCCCTTGCCCCCTTACTTCTAGTTCATTTTCACTATCAACACTGGAGCTTTCAAGCATGCTGGCTGGGGAATTCTGGGAGTTGAAGTCCACACATCCCAGTTTGAAAAACACTGGCACAGAGTATCCACTGGTGTGTGTGTGTGTGTGAAAATAGGTCAGAACGGTGGCTGTAACTTTTGCCATTGAAGCTCCACCCCTGTGTTACATTAAAAAAAGGAGTGGGGCTTTGATTGCATAGTCACAGCCACCATCTTGACTTTTTTGACCCCTCTAAAGGTATCCCTGCTGGAGCTCACAGGCAGGTTTCAGCAAACTAACCCAATTTTTGGTTTTCACTGCTGTTTAATCAGCTGCTATGCTATTATATTTTTACAAGGTGCCAAAATAGTTTGGCTCCCCTTGAGCACTATGTTCCCTTTCCTAATTATGTTCCTTAACCTCAGGAAGCCAAACAAGACCACAATCTTGTTTTCAAGATGAATTAACCTCTAGTAATCACAAATAGCATTTAGAATAGAATGCCTCCTCTTTTATAAGCTATTCCTGAACAGTTTCAGTTTGTACAATGAGGATCATCTAATAAAGAGATGGAAATCTGATAATCTACCATACATCTTTCTTCAGCCTGATCCAGTAATCCTTCCTTACACAAACACTTGAAACATCTGAAGGAAGTTGTATCTGAGCTGATAGAATCACACAAAAAGTTCCCTAAATATTTTGGCTAGTGGGCACATCTGGAATTTTGAAAGCGTGTCATGGCCACTGTAAGAAGTAGATTGATCCCTCCGTGAAATGGCTGCCATGGTGACATGCAAGCCCAGAACGATGAAAGTCAGGCAGTAGAGAGAGCCCCGTAGACATGCTGCTACTTCCCCCCGAAATAGCTTTTATATAACAGGAGACCGTGTATGTGTCTGCATTTTTGAGGACAGCTTGCCTGTTTTCATCCAACAGGGCTCACTCCAGAAATTCTCTGAAGTCCCATTGCCAGGAACAGAGCTGAGGCTAAACTGCTGAACCAGACATTTTTCTCCTAGTTTGATCCATATGAACTGGTTCCAAGACGAGGAGCCATCAAATGCGGGGGTCTCTCACTCAGACTCTGTAGTTGGCAACAATGGTTTGCACTCCAGGGGAAGCCTTCTGAGAGTCACATCTCAGGAAAGCGAGAAAGATGGGGCTTATTTAGGGTAGAACCCAGAGCACTAAAAGAGAATATAGAAAGATTGTACACATTTAGAAGTGTGCTGAGTCCTGTCCATTTGGACAGCTGAACTGATAAAATCTTTGACCAAACAATATGTGGGCGGAAAGGAGGGCAGAAATGCACTCAAGGGGGTTCTTGATAAAGCAATGTGAATAGAAAAGCCGTGAGGCAGGAACTTAAACATGACCTGACCTGCATTCTGACACTTTCACTGCAGGACGCACAGCAGCACGTTTTGGCTTTCGGTCAAATGGTCATCTGTGAAAATACCACATAGTGTGGCAAGGAGATTAAATTTTGCCTACAGAGAGCTTTGAAGCTCTCTTCATTTCTAATTATTAATGTTATGGTGTCAGGGCTGTGACTGCTCCCTATGACTGCAAGTAATGTGAACATTGGCAGATTGGCCCCTGTATTTTACAGCTGGTGGGACCTCATGAGACCCCGAGAGGCTTCTGGCCTTGTTTGCACAGCATTCTTCACTGGCTCTGGGAGCAAAGATACTGCCCCGTACAAACACAGTTAATTAACCCCAACAACTAACTCAGAGGGGGTTAGCTTCAGCGCTAAGCTGCCCCATAACTATGCTAACTCACTCGCCCTGGTCAGTGGTGTCACGCAAACTGCTAACTGGGGGAAACAATTGTCCACTGCCACTTTTGAGGCAGAACTGAAGTTCTAGGATGGCCCATGAAAACGGGGCTTCTCTAGATACCTCCAAATCCTGTTTATCTCACCTGCTTTGGTCACACTGGGGGTGGACAAAAAGGGACTGAAGATGTTG